GCCCCTGCATTTTTTTTCAAACAACAAAATCTACCTTGTCTTCTTCCCACCCTTCCAACCCAGAGAAAAACCCCTTTTACAAACATGCATACTCAAGCAAAGCAAATTTCTTCACTTGTCATGTCCAAAATGGGATATATGTGTATTCGCATGTACATATATATGTCTCTTTTGCACTCGTAAGTCTTTCACCTCTTTACCAGGAGGTGAGTAGCATATTTCATAATTTGTCTTCTGGAATTATGGTTGGTCATTATTATGATCAGAATGTCTGAGTTGTTCAAAGTTGTTTGTCTTTATAATATTGTTATTATCTAAATTGTTCTCCTGGTTCTATTTACTTCACTCAGTATCAGTTCATACAAGTCTTTCCAGGTTTCTCTGAATCCATGTCCTTCAATATTTCTTTTTTAAAAACATCATCACAGTTATCCCAAGTATCTCTCTCCCTCCCTGAGAGCCATCCCATATAACAATTAGTATTTTTTAAAGAGGAAAAAGAAGCAGCACAAAATTGGATACATTGAAAAAGCCGCAAAACATGTACGCTGTGTGACACTATGAATCTCCCACCTCCACAAAGGTCCACAAAGGGGTTTCACCTATCTTTCCTTTTGGGTCCTGCATGATCTTTATAATTGTGTTACATTCACTTTTGATTTTTTTTTTTTAGTACATACTTCCATTTTACATTGTTGTGATAGAAGGAGCCATTGTAGATCACTGAGGAGTAGAATTAACATAATGAAAATGGTGCTTGAGGAATAGAATTCTGTAGGATGGATTAGAATAGGAGGAAGCTGGCTACAGAAGAACTGGGACTTCATTTTACAGATGAATTCATAAGCTTTGGAAGTTATTTAGGCATGAGCTAATGTGGGCCTGCAACATTTGTAGTTATAGAAATGAAAAAGAATAGATATTGCAGGGAGAAAGCAGCAAGACTGACTCTGGAATGAAAGACAGAGGAAGAAGCAAAAAGAAGGGGCTTTATGCTTGGAATTTTTAAAAGTAGTCATGGTAGTGACACTAGTGTTTTGTAACACTGTCCTCACTTTTATCCTTAATGTTTTTCTAGAAAAATACAAACTTTTCATATAAACAGGTAAAGGAAAAGTGAGGCATTAGTCTTATATTTTCAGTGAATGAGAGTAGCAAAACGAGATGTAACAAGTAACTATAAATGACTTGCATTAGGAAGATTGTGAAGAGTTACCTGTTTGGCAGGGAAAATGAACTCTCTTCTGACTTCTTCAGTTTCAGGTGTTAGTATATCCAGTTGGCGATATCTTATGGGGAGTTGAAGATAAGTGACTAGAGAATGTGAATAAAGTCAGGGTCATTTTCTAAAATATGTTAGAACAGACTTAAAATATGTCAGGGCAAATTTCCAATAGTTTGCTGCAACTGATTTGGCTTATTGGCTAAGTGGTTTTGTTAATTTTGGCAGTGATCCAGCATGTAGTTTTTCTTTTTTTTTTTTAATAGTATTTTATTTTTCCAATTATATGTAAGGACAATTTTTAACATTCATTTTTATAAGATTTTGAGTTTCAAAATTTTCTCCCTCCCTTTTTCCCTTCCCTCCTCCCTAAGATAGTAAGCAATTTGATATAGGTTTCATATATATATATATAATATATATATATAATATATATCACATGAATATTGTATATACGATATATAATATCATATATAATATATATCACACAATATATATTATATAATATATATGAAACATATATTATATATAAAACATATATATATATACAATTGTGTAAAACATTTCCGTATTAGTCATGTTGTGAAAGAAGAAACAGAACAAAAGGAAAACATCATGAAAAAAAGTGAAAATAGTATGCTTTGATCTATATTCAAACTTCATCAGTTCTTTCTCTGCAAACGGATAGTATTTTCCATCATAAGTCTTTTGGAATTGTCTTGGGTCATTTTATTGCTGAGGAGAGCTAAGTCAATCATAGTTGATCATCATATGATGTTACTGTTACTGTGTACAATGTTTTTCTGTTTCTGCTCACTTCACTCAGCATCACTTCCTGTCTTTCCAGGTTTTTTTGAAATCCACTTGCTCATCATTTCTTATGGAGTAGTAGTATTCCATTATATTCATATACCACAACCTGTTCAGTCTAAGTCCACCAATTGATGGGCATCCCCTCAATTTCCAATTCTTTGCCACCATAAAAAGAGCTGCTGTAAATATTTTTGTACATGTAGGTCCTTTTCCCTTTTTTATAATCTCTTTGGGATACAGACCTGGTAGTGGTATTGCTGGATCCAAGGGTATAGCTGGCATGTAGTTTTTCAATGATGTAGTATAATGAATGTTGTAAATATCTCTCTGCCCTATTTTGTGCTTGGGATGTCTACTGTTATAGATATTTGAGTGCCAGTATCTTGATATTTATACTAAAGCTACTATCCTTCACAATTTTGGATCACTTGGCAGGGATATTTTTAATGAGAGATGTATTCTCACCCCCCTTTTTTTCTGGGTATTGGAAAAAGACATGGTAGACAGAGTCATGAAGTTGAATTGATTAAATTGAATGGGTGTAGTTCTAGTCATTTAACATTTCTATGAATCAGTTTGTAACTCAGAAAAATGATATTGGGATGCATAAAAAGATTTTGTGTGTGTGTGTATACACACACATACTTTTTTCTTTTTTTTTTTTAAGGAATGAGCTTAATTGAAAATTCATATTTCTTTGCATTTTCTTTTTATGGCTTCCATTCTTGCCATGACTGAGTTGAGATGCTAAAATTGAGCCATTGGCTTATCATAAAGAATAAATGTGTCTTATATCTTGCAGCTTTGCTAAGTTGGTCTAGTTGTAAACTGTTCCACTCTGGAGAACATTTTGGAATTACACCCAAAGGGCTATAAAACTGTGTATACTCTTTATACACATCAGTAGCACTATTAGGTCTATATTTGAAAGAAATCAAAGAAAAGGGAAAAGAACCTATTTGTACAAAAATATTTACAGCAACTCTTTTTGTGGTGCCAAAGAACTGAAAATTGAGAAGCACATTAATTGGGTAATGGCTGAACAAGTTGTGGTAAATGATTTTGATGGAATACTGTTGTGCTATAGGAAATGATGAGCAGGGTGTTTTCAGAAAAACCTAGAAAGACTTAAATGAATTGATGCAAAGTGAAGTGAGCAAAACTAGCAAGACATTGTACACAATAAACACAATATTGGAACAGTGATCACCTGTGAAAGACTTAACTATTCTGATCAAGACAATGATCCAAGACATTTCCAAGGGGCCCATGACAATAAATGCTATCCACCTCCAGGGAGAGAACTGATGAACTCTGAGTGCAGATTGGAGCATACTTTTTTTCTTTCTTTCTTTCTTTTTCCTGGGGGATTTTTGGATGTTTTCTTTTGTAATATGGCTAATATGGAAATATGTTTTGTATGACTTCACATGTATAATTGATATATTGCTTGCCTTCTTAAGGGGCGGGGAAGGAGCAAAATTGTTTTATGTGTAATTAGTAAATATTTAATTAAATAAATAATATATTTTTAAAAAGAATAAATGTCTAGTTATTTTGTAGAATCCTTTGTTGCATATGTTTTTAATTTCTCAAGAGGGAATTTTCTATACATAGTGTCCATGTCTTAAATGCACCTAATCAGTGCTCAGTGTATACTTGCAGTATATTTATATGGTTTGTGGCCAAAGACGCTTCAAAATGTAATGTACCTTAAGTTTCAGAAAGGTGACAAAAATGGGCCTTCGAATGCAGTTTTCTTTGTGAAATCCTAAATTCCATGAATGATAATTAAAATGCTATTTGTAATGTTAGACAATTTTGTAATCTTTTCCCTTTGTCTGGAAGCATATTTCATTGCTTAGGTTATCTTTTATATGAGTATGTTTTGTTGCTATCTAGATCAAGTGTCACATGACTGTAATATGAGCTATAGTAATCCTCCATTCTGCATGTTTGTCAGCATTTGAGGTTGGAATGTTAGATTCTGGCAATACCATATGCAATGGAATTAAGCAAGAGAAGTACAGTAGCAACTGTTGCTATTTGTGTCACAAGCAGCTGCCTATGGTAGACTTTTTTTCTTTCTCCATCTCTGATAGCCTTGGATTGTGGCCCTGCCTTAGAGACACAGCATCTGCTTGAGGTTTAATACATGAGTTCATGTATTAAAGATTCTTCACCATATAGATTAAGGGGATCTGAAACTTTGTACGCACGAAAAAAGAAAAAGGAGTTAAGCCTTAGCATTCTCATGCTGTCTGTAAGGAGTAATATGACTAGTTTACATTAGGAATTACTTTGGTGGAAGCTCATTGAGTCAAAAAAAGAATTTTCCCTTCTGTTTATAACATGTCAAGATAGTTAACTATTTATAGTAAACTGTATTTCTGTAGTTCTTTGGGGGAGAGGGGTGGGTTTCAAGCCTTTAGGAACATCAGTTATTGGTGGCATGGACTTCAGCCAAATATCAAGGGCAGCTTCCAAAAGTGAATACCTTTTTGAAGTAAATGAAAAGAGCTGATAAATGTTTTTTAATTTTTGTTAGATGGTAGCCTTACTCTTGGTTTTTTTTTAATTGTAATGCATTAATTTCTGACCTAAAAGTTTAAAGCCCTAGGAAGTTTAGTTTCATCCTTGATATAGTAACATGGCCCATTTCCAACTTTCTGCTACTGGCTTTTATGAGGAGGTCAACTGCTGTAATATATACATATTTTTAGATTTTTAAAAAAATATTCCATACACTAACAACTTCATAAAAATGTGTTTATTTTTCCTGACCTATATGCCCTATCAAAATTCAGTGGTATGGTTGTACTGATCTAATTTTACTTTGTATGTAATACAGTATTACATGGTAAGTTTTTTGATCTGATACTGAGGATATATGTTTAACCAAAGAGTTTTAATGACTGAATGACTTAAGATTTTTTTAAAAACCCCACATTTTTTTCTCCTTTAGGTATTGTCAACCCAAAGAACCCAAAGGAAGCGCCAAAGTCCTTCAGCTTTGACTACTCCTACTGGTCTCACACCTCGGTGAGTGCTTCATCCCCCAAAAACCTGGCAAAAGCCTTTGAAATTCCTCTGTTGTTAGATCTCCTTAAGTTTACCCTTTGCTTTCTTTCTCTTTTTTTTCCTCCTCATCCCACAATGCCTTCTTGCTTTGGGGATAATTCTAATTAACTTTCCATATTTTTTATTTGTAAGCAGTTAATGTCAAGGATTTTGTTAGTAAGTGCATTTGGATCACCAACTTGTAAAGATTTGAAACACAGTAAATATATTGTATATTAAAATGATACCAGTCATAAGTTAATTTATGGAAGTCTCTTAAGACATTTCAGGATCTTACTTGCAGTATCTCAGAACCATCATTCATTTAACAAATGTATTATATACAGGGCACTGTGCCAAGTGCTCTTGGGGTATAAAGAACATCATAATTTTGCCATAGGTAAGTCGAAGTGCTAATTAACAGTATGTTAAGCAGCAGTTCGTTATATTTGTCAATGAAATTTTGAGGGAAAATAAGGACATGAGGAATATATCCATAGCTAATGATGAAGTTACAGTTTTGTTCCAGTAGAACTGTTTAAGTTCTTACATTTTAAAAAAAAACTCAATTGAGGAACATGAGTTTAGATTTAACTAGTGAAATCATAGATCTTTTAAAGTTTTATAGACTGGGAAAAAAATTGGGGTTAGGGATCCAGACTTCCCAATGTAAAATCAGAAAAAAAATCATAGTAGTAGCATCAGCACACTCTGCTCCAACTGTATTGGACACGAAACCTTACTGACTTCCAAGAATTGTTCTTAAGCCAATTTGAACTGGCTTTTCATCACTAAATTCTCTTGTATTTAAGGGTTTGTTTGTTTGTGGTGATGGTGATGGTGGTGAATAAGAAGTTTCATTTTCTAGGTTTTGGTTGACAAAGCCCATTTGCCAGAGTGAGTTGTTTGAAAGGGTTTTGGAAACATTTGTCACTGATAGTTACTTAACTTGGAATACTCATATGCCAGGCAATACATATTCTTGTAAAGTTCAAAGAAGTATCTTTGTATATGGGATTAATTTTTAATTTTTCCTTTCCTATTCCTAGCAATTGTGCAAGAATCAGTTAGTCAAAGATCGACTAGTTGTCCTACACACTTATGAAAGCATGAAGATAAAACATCCTTTATTTTTATCTTTTTAATCTTTGTAGCCTGAAGATCCCTGTTTTGCATCTCAGAACCGGGTGTACAATGACATTGGAAAGGAAATGCTCTTGCATGCCTTTGAAGGCTACAATGTTTGTATTTTTGCCTATGGACAGACAGGTGCTGGAAAATCCTATACGATGATGGGCAAACAAGAAGAAAGCCAGGCAGGCATCATCCCACAGGTAAAATCAAATCCCATGAGAAAATTGATTTGCAGTATAACCTTATTTTTTTTCTAGGATTACTAATTATATTGTTAGTTATTTTTAGTTATGTAAAGAGAACTTTTCCATTGTGATGATAAATAAATGATCTTTCTCCTTATTGTTCCCTTGCTAGCTTAAATCACATGTAGAAATAAAGACAGGTTTACTCCAGAATGTATTTATTAGTTGCTTAGTTCTTTTGTATGATTGGTGTTTTGAATTTAGAATTGAAGGTAATTGGGAGGGGACGGAGGAGAAGAAAATTTTATTAGGTTGAAAAACCATCATCCCAAACTAGTAGACAACATTGTCAAGAAGATTTGTGGCCATAAGAGACAAGACTTTGGAAAACGGCAGACAAATTATGGTTTATTAGAAGATGAGGGGAGTAGGGGAAGATTCAGCAAGTGTCTCCCATCATATTCATCACAGTCAATGACCTAATTTTTTTATTCCATTGGTATTTGGTATTTGTATTTGGTAGTTTTATTCTGACCTAATGATATTTGACTGTTTTGTGTATGTGCAGAGACGTCAACTTTTTTGAAGTGCTTTTGACAAATTTAATAAGTATTTATTAAAATATAAAGTACTCTAATATGTAAAGCACTCCAATAAATACCCACCTCCTCTACTTAAGGAGCTTATGCCTTAGGAGATTAGACCTATCCACAAATAACTATAATACCAAATGCAATTCATGAGAGAACCTCAGATGTAAGTATTATGAAAACCCAGAGGAGGGAAAAGTCACATCTGTTGCTTTTTTCATAGAATCTCTTTTGAATTTTTACCACAGTGCTGTATTTGCAACATTTTATAAGTGAAGAAATTGAGAAACAAAGATTGTCAAAAATCCCCAATCAGTCAGCTGATGGAGTTAGAGATAGAATCAAGATCTCCTGATTTTTAGTCTTAGTGGTCTTTTTGCTCTACCAGGAATCTGCCTATCTTAAAGCAAGAACTAGGAGTAATACTGGAATAATAGTGAGGGGGCAGTTGCTGTCTTTTTTCTTTTTCCTTCTTACTCTACTTTTTTTTTATTGATTTATTTTGATTTATCAATAATCACTTCCATATGCTTTTGAGTTTGAAATTTTTCTCCCCCTTCCTCCCCACCACCCTCCCCAAGACAGCGCACAATCTGATATAGGCTATACATTTATATTCATATTAAACATATTTTCACATTAGTGATGTTGTAAGTAGAAATTAAAACCAATAGGAGGAACCATCAGAAAGAGGAAACAAAACTCAACAGAAGAGAAAAAAATAACAATTTGGCTTCCATAGTTCTTTCTTTGGGTGTGGATAGCATTTTCCATCACAAGGTCTCTGGAGATGTCTTAGATCCTCATATTGCCAGGAAGGGTTAAGTTTATCAATATTAGTCATCACACAACGTGGCTGTTATTGTGTACAACGTTCTTTTGGTTCTGCTCACTTCACTCAGCATCAAATCATACAAGTTTTTCCAGGTTTTTCTGAAGTCAGCCTGTTCATCATTTCTTATAGCACAATAGTATTCCATCACATTCATATACCACAACTTGCTCAGCCATTCCCCAGTTGATGGGCATCCTCTCAGTTTCCAATTCTTTGCCACCACAAATAGAGCTGCAATGAATATTTTTGTACATGTAGGTCCTTTTCCTATTTGTGTGATCTCTTTAGGATATAGCCCTAGAAGTGCTATTGCTGGGTCAAAGGGTATGCACATTTTGATAGCCCTTTGGGCATAGTTCCAGATTGCTCTCCAAAATGGTTGGATCATTTCATAGGCAGTTGCTGTCTTAACAAGAGTTAGTAGATAGAGGTCTCACTCTATGCAGGATGGATCTGACTAAATGCATTTTATTACGTTTTATGAGGAAGAGCAACTGCTTCCTTGAAAATGCATCATGGTGGATTTATAAATACAATAAAGGTACTGTCATTGCCATCATATTATAATCACTTGACGTTTTCTAGAAATTTCTAAAAGGAGAAAATTGTTGTACTACTGAAACAGTGAACACTTTGTGACCCAGAACATGTTACATTGTGATATAAACTTTTCAGAAAATTTCAAGTGATTTTTAATTAGAATATTTCCCTTGTATTTAAAAAAGATTATGTTGCAAAACCTAAATCATACTTGTTCATCTTTAATTCATAATGAAGAATAATAATAGCACAGTTAATGCCATATTTATACTTTCCAGAAAGTTTAGGAAAAGGAAAAAGAAATAGCCTCTACTTTCCTTTTTTTTTTTTTAATGCTTAATTCTCAGACACAGTAGGAATATATCTTAAAGAAGAAGTCCTTGATGGAGACTGAATGTTTCTTTCTTCAGTTGATGTTTTTGACCCTAACATCATTGTAAAACCAATGAAAAAACTGTTTGGAAGTACTCGCCATAGAAATCATTTGGGAAATTAGTTCATCTTTGAGATGAATTGGAGATCCCTGAAATGCAAGACTGTTAATTAACCTAGGACTACATAACTGCCAGGTCTCTGGAAGTTTTTGTTAATGTTTGTTTCAGGAATTGTTCTCTTCCCTTGGCCTTAAGTTATCAGGAATGGGAGCAGAGGGTGGGGTTGCACGAGCTGCAGAGCTTCAGAGAGAATGTCTTTGCATTTTTGAAAACTTGCTGGGTTTCACTCTTAATGAAGATATGCTAAATGATTTTTAAGGTATTCCTTATTTTAAGGCTGGGACACTTACTTTGGTTTCAGAGAGTAAGGCAGATAAGTAGCTGCTTTCCCCAGTGCAACATTTATCTGTAATTTCCAGTTTTGATGCAAACAAAACATTTATATTTGGGGAGATTTTGTTAGGTGAGACCTGCACAACAAATTATTCCTTTCACCAGTGTGAAAATTCTGAATAAGTAACATTAGTACTTATTTGTCTTGATTTTCCCCCATGAATTTAGATGAGCAAAATTAGTGAAAAAAGTTTTGAAAAATTTCCATTTTCTCTACTTTTCTTTCTTTCAAAGGAGAACTTATTGGAGGGGGAAGCATATCAAGAAATTACTGTGGTGTTTAAAAAGAATATCAGTTTTTACAATTTCTCAGTTTATATAATTACCATTATCATTTATATTCAAAAGTAGTCTCATTAATAGTTTCTGAGAATGGCAAGTTAGATTACAAATAGTAATCCCATTTAAATTTTTCATCATACAGGTATTCTTTTTTGTCCTTTAAATTATTTATTATTGTAGTTTCTTTGTAACCTTATTTTATCTTTTTTTTCTGATAGTTGGTACATATTGGTTTCATATTAAATAAAACCTGTCATCTTTAAAAACCTGTCATCTTGTAGGGCACCCATTAATCCTTACTTACACTTATTAGTGGTCATTAACACGTGTAAGACTAATTTAATATTGATTTGATTTTAGAGACATGGCAAATGGGAGACCATTAGAATTTTAGGATTATTTTAACAATGACAAAAAAGACCATTGATTTTACAGGTAGTGGGAATGAAGAGTCAGTTTTCAATCTCTTCTAAAATTTTTGTTTTATTTTCCTACAATTCCACCGGTATTTATTGTCAGTCACCTAATGTGACTGATTGTTATCAAACATATTGAGTGGAATCCCTTTATAGTCTACCTTCCAACAAGCTCTTTCTTTCTGTACCTTAAAATAGTGGTGAGGTGCAGCCTATAAGGGAAACAGAAGACTACATGGGAGAAATGAAGAAATGTCATGCTCCAAGACTTTCTTCTTCGTTTTCTCTAAAGACAGAGTGTTGTTCAAAGAGTGCCGTTAGTATCATTCATCTCTTGGGAAGAAAAAAAAGATACACAGGTCATAATTGTGTTTTTTAAATGTTGATTAGTAATGAATATATTTGACTTATGTCTTTTATCTTCTTCTGCTTCTATAGTTATGTGAGGAACTCTTTGAGAAAATCAATGATAACAGTAATGAGGAAATGTCTTACTCTGTGGAGGTGAGTAGTAGTAGATTGAAAGCAGAAATGTCAGCAGTAGCTACATATCTGAGCATTTGAAATCAAATTCATTTTCTGCCTTTTTTATAACAGCGACCCCTACCTTAAGTGTTTAAATCAGGACAGTTTTACAGTCACTATGATTACATCTAATTTGTTTATTATTATTTATTAGACATAATGTGATACAATGGAAATGTGGTTGCCAATAGACTAAAATTCTAGTCCTAATTCAGTTATACTTAATTCAGTAATCTTTTATGAAATGTTCTGTGGTATATATTGGAGATTCCAAGATAGAGTCTGATTTTAATTTGTTGTAAGACCTCAAACAAGTTAATTAGCTTTTCTGTTTTTTTATCATCCATAAAATGATAGCTTTGACTATTGATTGGATTTAGATAATCACTAATGTAAAACTTCTTACAGTTCTAAAATTCTGTGGATGACAGTTACTTTACTAGATTCTGGATCAAGTATGGAATTAAATAATAGGAATTGAGAACTCCATGTTCTAGATCTAGAACATTCCCAAGGGAGATTCCTTGTTCATAACTTGAGAAGTGTTTTTATTCTGATTGTTTCAGCCAAAGTTAAGAAGACAAGGTCTTTCCTAGAAATAAAGATTATAAGTCTTCCCTGGTACAGATTTCGCAAAACTCTTGACGCTTGGAAATGTTATGATTAAGTAAATTTTATATCCTTCATGTTTTTAAATACTCCGTTAGTATGTTTCTGAAGCCAAGAAAAACAAGTTCTGGGAGATTTTTTGTGGGGGACAAAGTTTATCTTAAGTCTCATACTTTCAACTCAGAACCTAAAGCTTATTTCTCTCCTAGTTTTGGTTCTGAGTTGACAGTATAGCATGTTGGTCTGCCGAGTTAGTTGTACATAATTTTTTATCAGGAGTCTTGGTTTAAGGCATGAGACCGTATTTTGACATTTCCCTGGGACTCATCCTTTATTCTCTGACTGACCTATCATTGGAGCCTTGTGGAGGCTCTGCTCTTTGCTCCTGGGGGCAGACAGAGGCACAAATATCTTTTTAGTTATAATGATTTCTCCCTTTTGGCAAATACAGAGTGATCTTGAATTAATAGTAGGGGGAGATAATATGTGTCCCTTTAAAAATAATGTGGTTCCCTATTACTAGCATCTTGACAGATGAAATAAAAAGTGAAGGAAGGATGCAATTATGGCTAAATAATACTGATTTTGAAATGTTGGTGTTCTTTTTGTTGACCAATCTCTTACTATTGATCCTCATTTAAACCATATGCCTGTCAATGCTTTTATTAAAATGTTGTTTAATTCCCATTATTTTATATTTTAATTACTGAAGTCACTAAAATCAGTATAATAGGATTAGTCTGACACTCAGACACTCAGATATCATACCACCTTTTTTTTCAAAAGGATGTTGCTCTTGTTTATTGTACTGTGGTGAGCCTAAAAGCCTTGCCCAAACTATCACTGATCTCCTTTTAACTGCCTTGGGCATTTTCCTTTTACCTGTTTGAGTTATGTTAACAGTTGTAAATTTTAAAGAATACAGCCTTGTGATAATGTTATCTAGAAAGAGGGACATGGTTTTCTACAAATATTTTCAATCAAAAATCAGCTTCTGAATATTCTAAATCTAGTCCTAAGGCTAAAATACTATTTTTTTTTTGGAAAAAAACCCATGGCTAATTGCATTTTTCATAATTGATTTTCAGGAGTAGTGGATAAATTCTGTCTATAGAATTTGTGGACAGAATTTATGGACTAAATATGGAAAATAAGACACACTTTTGGGACATTCTTAATGTATGAATTTGTTTTCCTGACTATGAGTGGATGTTGCCAGGGCTTTGTTTTCCTTTTTATCCTCCCTATTAGAACAGGGTACAATGGAAGGAGAAGGAGTGGAACAGAAAAAAAAAACTTTTAAATTTAGTTGAAAAAAAGAATATGATAAAACATTTGAATTTACAAATTGAAATAATATGTAGTTTTCTTTTATATTGGACCACAGTGACCACACTCTGTGATTCTGAATGAACTATACAGTGCTTTACCATGTGTGTTATTTATACTGGTTGAAGGTTAAAAGCTGAAATAGTGGAGAATTGGCTAGTATAGAGACTAGATATTGGTACAAGTAGACTTTTTTTAAATCAGATTCTTACCAAGGCATGATAATAATTAACATATTATTAATAATGATATAAGAATAAAAATAACTTTGTGACCCTGGGTAAGTCATTTCACCTTTCCCAGCCTCAATTTCCGTATTTATAAAATGGGGATGACAATAGCACTTGCCTTGTTTTAAGGCGGTTGTTGTAAGCATCAACTGAGATAGCATGTGAAGTGTTTTGCCAACTTTAAAGGGCTCCCTAAGGGCATAGCTGATGTTTGTATAGGGCTTTGGAGTATGCCAAGCACTCTACATATGTTATCTCATTTGATTCTCATAACCATCTTTTTAGACAGGTTTGTAAACTCATGGAGGTTAAGTACATTGTCCAAGATTACACAGCTAGTCAGTATCTGAGGCAGAAACCTAACCCATAAATTCCTGACTCCAAATCCAGCCCTAGCTTGACTGCACAATGATTCTCTCAGAGGTATTTATTAGGACCTTTAGGCTGATGACATGTGTGAAAAGTAGACAATTTTACAGAAGAATGTACTCACCTTCCTGGTACCTTGGCAGCAAGGCCAAGGGCTACTAGTTTGATTTGGAATCCTTTTAGCTCCTGAAGTAAACTGATGTAGAGAGGAAAATTTATTGTGTTACTTTTGGTTATGGACCAAAAAGCACATCTTTCCAGGCCATCAGTTTAGAATATTTTCATTAGTACCTGGTGGTGACTTTAAAAACTAAGTGGAAGAAAGAAAAATGGAGGCAGCATTGAGGGTTCTGTCTCAGTCCTCCTGCAAACAAACATACTTACAAGTTACTCATAAGTTGGCATTTAAAATGCCTTTGTTGCTGAGAGCACGAAGTTGTGATCTTCCCATCTGTGGCTGTTAGCTGTGGTGATTGGATGTCATGAAGGCTAGTTGCTGCTCTTCTACCTCTCCTTCCAGCTAGCCTTCGTGGCATTGAATGCCACTGTTAACACACATCTCATCTCTGCAGGGAGTCTTTCTTCCCTTTTGGGGGGCACACCAGAGAGGAAAGGAGTGGAACCTTTCATACTTTACTTTTCAAAGGGTCTTAGACCTAGTCCTAGTGTGAGCATAGTATTCTTCTAAATTCAGTAAAGCTTTTTTTTTTTAAATTAAATTTTATTTTTAGGTCACATTATCTTCCTGTCACCTTCTCTAGCCCCAGTAATCTCTTTCACATCCTCTTATTGATTTCCCTTATTTATTCATAGGTGAGTTACATGGAAATTTACTGTGAGAGGGTACGGGATTTGCTGAATCCAAAAAACAAGGGTAATTTGAGAGTCCGAGAGCATCCTCTTCTTGGCCCTTATGTGGAAGACTTGTCTAAGCTGGCAGTTACTTCTTATACAGACATTGCAGACCTCATGGATGCTGGGAACAAAGCCAGGTATGGGCAAAAAGTAGGGGCACAATGTGAACTCCTTTGCTCCCTGTTGAGGGACCAAAAATGTCTTCTTGGCTCTGAAATTTGCTTTTATTGTGAAATTTTATGAACTCCTGGGTCTGCTAGAAAAATTTATTGTTTTATGTTAGTTTACTTTCCTTCACATGAGATAACAAAAGTGCTTAGTACATCGCCTGACACATAGTAGGTGCTATAGAAATGCTTATTCTCTTCCTTTCCCCTTCCCATTCACATTGAAATCCCTCACTCAGGTAACACATCAGTTCTATGATTAGGTGGCTCTCTTGCCCACATTTTGCATCTAATAGCATACAGTAAATTATTAGTCATTGTCTTATCTTAATATGCCTGGGAGAATAAATTCTTGAATAAGTGAACACTTTATAATCAATAAAAATTATTTATTTCAGTGGTTTATAAAGTGGCAGCTAGACTGTATAAAAAGGCTCTGCTAAGTTGTCTTTGGAAGTGAAAGATGATGACTCTCTGAGTTCAGAGAATGAGTAGCTATTCACAGTAAATTAAAGTATTTTAAGTTGTTGGCCTGTAGTTTGAACTCTGCTCTCTTTTCTTACTTTCCAAGAACTCCATCCAGTGCTAAGTCTACATATTCATATTTTCATCTAGGACAGTGGCAGCTACCAACATGAATGAGACCAGTAGCCGTTCCCATGCTGTATTCACCATTGTTTTTACTCAGAAGAAACATGATTCTGAAACTGACCTCTCAACAGAGAAGGTAGGAAGAACAGTGGTGAATGGGTTTTGAGGTGTGGGACAAGGACAAGAACTATAGAAAATGACTCACCTTTTGCTGTGTATGTCCCATGGAAGGGGAAAAGATTACTGTCCTCACTTTTCCTGAAGTATTTCATTTGGTTACTTTGACTTTTCAAGTCATTCTGATTTTTGGTCATTAGTTCTGAGGTGAAATTAGAAGATAGAGAGTCAGGAAATAAGAATTCATAACTCGAAGTCTCGAAGGCTACCAGGTGACAGAAAGTGGAACCAATCCTTCTGAACAGAAATTTTTCAATGTTTTTGCTTGACATTGGCCACTTAATGATTGTCTCATTAACTGTTTGGTGGCAGAGACCTATTTTATTTGAGGTGTGATTATGCTACCATGAAATTTATATATAAGAAAGGAATGTACATTTTCAGCTAGAAGAGAGCCCTTAACAGCCATCGACTCCCACTCCTTCCTTTTGTAGATGAGAAAACAGCCCCAGACAATTTGAGGGCAGTGTCAGGTTAGCCTGGATAAGGGAGCCTTGGAGAACTTTCAAATATTTGAAGAATTATCACACAAAAGATAGATTACATATTTTCCTAATAAGTTCCAACAGATAGGCCTCAAAACAATCATATTAAGTTGGAGAGAGGAAGAGTTCAGCTCAATTTAAGATACATTTCCTAACAATTAGCACTGTTTAAAAGTGGAATGGTTTGTTTTGGAAGATAGGGATTTCTTGGTGCAAGAATTCTTTAATTGGAAACTTGTTGACCACTTGTCAGGGGTGTCTTATTTTAGATTCCTGTAATCTGTGCTTTGGATTATAGGACCTCTGAGATTCCTTCCAACTCAGAGAATCTACAGTACTACTTATAAAATTACTATGCCCAATATAGTCAAATATTTCTTAAAAAATGACCTTTTTGAGGTTCAAGAATTTTATTATTTGGAAATTTCATGAATACATCACTATTTTATCCACAACTTTTATGATTGTATAGACCTCGATCATTTGCTCTCTCAACTTTCAGCTTTACAGATAGAATCATTTCTGCTTTTAAATATTTCTTCCTGTGGAATTGCATCCATTCCCTTGCCCTTTCAGTTGCCTTTCTGTAGATCTCTTATGGATTATATATGTTGCCAATGATGATCTGTGTTTCCTTACCAGGTCAGCAAGATCAGTTTGGTGGATCTGGCTGGGAGTGAAAGAGCTGACTCAACTGGTGCCAAAGGGACTCGATTAAAGGTAATTAGGTTTACTTTAACAAGCATTTATTATTCTTGTTAACATTAAAAGGCAGTGCCAAAATGAGCGGGCTAGACAGTGTGTCATCAAAGTTCAGAGATAGTAATAACCATGTGTTAGACTAGTTGGGAGAGTATTTCATGGAGAGGAAGTAGGATTTGGCCTGGACCTGGAAGGATAGAAAGGATTTAGGTGGGTGGAGAAAAGTGGGAGGGCATTCTTAGGCCACAGCAGTAGCAAATCTATGGAAGAGGAGATAGGAGGAGGGAGATATAGGTACTGTTATTATTTCATTTCACAGTTGAGGAAACTGAGTCAAATCTGTTTAGTGGCTTACCCAGGGTCACACAGATAGTTAATGTCTGAGTCTGAATTTGCACTTAGGTCTTCCTGACTCTGGGCCTACTGCTTTATACACTATGACACTTCTAAGCTGAGCAGAGCTAATTTGAGGAAATGTGAAAAGACTGTTTAGGTAGCCAAGAAAACTAATAATGAGGAATTCCATTCAACATTTATTTACCTATTATATGCAAGGCACTCTTTTGGAAGCTAGAGATAAGGCTAAACCCTCTTGGCCCCAACATAAAACCCCAAAAAACCCAGTCTCTGACCTAAAGGAGTTTATATTCTATTGGGGGATACAACATGTACCCAGATGAGTAAATACAAGGGAATGGTTGGACATCAGCTTGGATAAGGTAACTAAGTATAGCATCCTGCATTTAAGCTTGTAATACTTTGGGACTCTAATGTAGGCCTGACATCTCTAGAAGCTGGCCTTGTTCTGAATCTAGACTGATTCCTAGAGATAGGAATTACAATATGTTAACAAATGGAGTAGAGGAAAAATTAAGAAAATCAAAATGTCACTTGAATTTCTGGTCCTAAATGTAAATGATTCACCAATTAGTGCCTACATGACTGAATAAGTCATTTCACTTCTGTGGGCCCTCATCACTTCTTTTAATGATCCCTCCACTTGTTTTTTGAGGAAATTGTTCATTCTATTTTTTTTTTATTTATGGGAACTAGTTTTATTTAGATTTTTTTTGTACTTTAAAAAAACAAAAGCTTTTGGTAGAATCAATGGTACCATGTTAAAAGAAATTTCTTTAATGTGTTGTAATCCAGTACTGAGAATAGCACATTAGAATATTTGAAGTTCCTCATCATAACTTCTTCTGGTTTGTTGTTTATTTTTTCTAGGAAGGAGCAAATATCAATAAATCTCTTACAACTCTGGGCAAAGTCATTTCAGCCTTGGCAGAAGTGGTAAATTTTTCAGTACTCTGTTCTAAAGGAAGAATTTGTCTAATCTGCTAACATACATACTAGTGATATCATAGTGTTATTTAATTATTTCATCTATTTTAGGTGTTTGTTCTCTAGGTAACATAAGACTTAACAATCTCGTACAGATTTTTAGATTACATACTATCTAAGCACCACCTAGGTATCAATCTAATAATAAGATTTAGGAAAAAGATTTAGAAGAGGATTACGAAGTGTGAAAGAAACCAGACAAGGCAAAATCTAGGACAGAACTTCTTTGACTGGTTTGACTTTGATTTCCCTTTCACACCTTGTGTGGAGAAATGTAGAGCTAGTGGTGGAATGGACCTCATGAGGCCATCTGATTCAACTAGCTAATTTTCCACGTGCAGAAACTGAGTGCCATTGTGGTAAAGTGACTAATCCAGAGTCACATGAGTAGTAAGCAGAAGTATCTTTTAAGCCCTGGTCCTTTGACTTGAGCTAGGGCTCTTTCCTCTGCACCACATTAAAGATGGCTAGTCTTCTATCTGGTGTCTTCTCTGATTGTCTGTTGAGGTTTTTGGAGCTGGTTGGCCTTAAGACTCTTTGGGAATACTGGCAATTTTGAGGGCCACATATTCTCCCTTCTCCATCCAGTGCCATGACAGCAGAGCAGTGGATCCATAGTAATTTTCTTATATGTGTATGCAGCATTTAGAATGAAAAACTAAGAGTGTCCAACTTTATATGCCTTGATCTCTTTGACTATTGCTTTTGAGTCTCAAAGAGAATTTTACTCATTTGTCCACAGAACGACAATATTCACTGTAAATTCTCTCCAGGTTTTACAATTAAATTGTTTATTATTATAGTCAGAAGCTTACTCTGTTCTTTTTCTCTTCTTTGAATGCTTTCAATTTTAGGATAACTGCACCAGCAAGGTATGGTGGGGCTTGGCAGGAATGAACAGAGAGCTGTTAAATCAACTGCTGTGATTCCAGATGGTCAGCAAGGGTGTAGAAAGGGATGAGTTAGGGCTGTAACCTTCACAAATGTTTTGGTTAGTTGTTTTCTTATGCTCATACTCAAGATCACCATTAGGAGTGGCCAGAAATAATAAGACTAAACACTGAAATCTCCACTACTGTATCATACTTAATATTCGTTGGGCTCGAGCTAGAGTGAGAAATTAAAATTAAAGATAGCAGAGAAATATGCAAGGAAGTTTTTGCTTTCTAATGGTATGGCCCTAGAGTTGTACTTCTGATTCAGAGGAGCTAGGTAACATTTAAATGAGTTTTGTACTTTTAATAATAATACCTTTTGGCAACCACAAATAATTTTGATGACGTTTTAACCTGTAACTATAGATGATAGACCTTCAGTCATACTTTTTTTTCACAAATACTGCAGATTAAAAAAAAAGCACCCCTTAATAGTTTTTTGTTGATTACAAAAAGATTCAGGATATGGACAGCATTTATATAGAATTACACCTTTACATCTTGAATTATATAGGTTTATTTGTATTCTCCCTGCTTCTAAAAACTAACTTCATACAAGCTATAGCCATCTTTGTGCAGAGACTTGAAAAACTTCACCAAAACATAGAAAAGCCTGTTTGCTGCTGTGTTTTGCACTCTTGTGTGAACATTTTTTCAAATTCCTATCAAGGGAAAAAAAACTCTACTTCAGATTTTTCATGTTTAATCTACTTCAGATTATTATTATTCTTACAGTTTCTACATGAAGTGGATTGTAGAGTTCTCTTGTTGTAGGGAAGATGGTTCTCTTCCCTTTAGAAAGGGACTTTTTAAAGCTTCATTTGGCAATTGGTTTTATTAACAAATACTTATTGAGAACCTCCTCTTTGCAAGGCACTGCACTGTGCCTGTTTGTGAAGACAGCTTTTCAGAGCTGATTGTCTGTTCCTGTTCAGTGCTAACTTTCCAGTTTGGTATGTTCTAGCCATTGGTTCTGTGATAGGTGTCTGATTAGTCATGGGGAGAAGATAAGCATTTAACTTGCTGAGAATTTCCACATTGGTTGCCTTTTTTAGAAATCTTTTACTTTTTAATGGCTTAGTAAGTATGATTCTTTTTTTTTTTAATAGAGTAAAAAGAAGAAAAAAACAGATTTCATTCCATATAGAGATTCTGTTCTGACTTGGCTCCTTCGAGAGAATCTAGGTAAGGCCCATGTGACCGCTGCTTTAGGATTGTACATACCCTGCAGTGATTATCACTTTGTAATGTGGCGGGCAGGCTGTAATTTTGAGAACCTGACTTGAATGCTTTACAGTCCTTTTCATCTTTACCTTTATTACATTTGTTGGATTTGCACGTTATTACTCCTTTCCCTCCACTTTTCACTTATTTATGTGTGACAGTCATTTTTTAAAATTTTGAGTTCCAAATTCTCTCCCTCCCTTTTGTCAGGCACCCTCTTCATCTGCGAAGGCAAATGCTCTCTATACATATGGAGTTCTGCACAATGAATTTCTATTTTAGCCATGTTGAAAAAAAAAAAACCCAGGAAAAACAAGAAAGTGAAAAGCAATATGCTTTAGTAAACACTCAGCACATTATTACTCCTTTAGATCTTCATGGCTGCACTACCTATGGAGTAAACTAGGACAGTGACATTTTGAATAAAACTCTTTACCTTCCTTGAATGGTATGATTTCAGTTAATTGGTGGTTCATTTTTCTAGGTGGGAACTCTCGCACTGCTATGGTTGCTGCCCTTAGCCCAGCAGATATCAACTATGATGAAACTCTGAGCACTTTAAGGTATACTGAGTTGAGTGAGTTAAGCAAGATAATGTAGCTCTTTCATAAATCACTCTGAAGCACTAGGAATTTTTATCCCGTTAGTCTTCTTTTTACCTATGATGTGGCACACCTCATATAGGAAAATTCTATAGATCACTTCCTTACTCCCTGATACTAGTATTATAATAGAGATTTACTGTATTTGGTTTTCTTCTTCAGAGTCAATGACTTTGTACTCATCCATAATCAGAGTAAAGATTTTCATGTTGATTATGTAAATTTATTAGATATTGGTAAAAGATTATCTTGAGATGTTAATTTCTTTACCAAAAAAAAGTATCTCTGTTTATCATTTGCTGTTTGTCATGTCAGAAACACCAAGTAATGGAGGAAAATTCAGATAAGAATGTTAGGTATTTGAAGAAAAAAATCCCCACCATAATGAGCAGAGCATTATCTTTCCATTTATGAATAATTTCACAGCTTAAATTGACTTGGACCTTTCTGGCCTTAGTAGTGCTAGCAAAATATTAGAATATGTAGAGCATTTTATTTTGAAATGATAGGATTATGCCCTTGGAAATTTGAGGATTTGTTGACCTGATCAGATAAATAAAATGAGTTTTCATTTTGAAATACAGATATGCAGATCGTGCAAAACAAATTAAATGCAATGCTGTCATCAATGAGGATCCCAATGCCAAGCTTGTTCGTGAACTTAAGGAGGAGGTCACAAGATTGAAAGACCTCCTACGTGCTCAAGGGCTGGGAGATATCATTGATAGTAAGTCAATTGAGAATTATCTTATAGAGTTCACTCTCTGCCTTTCCAGGGCTGGTGTCTCTGAAGGGCATCAAAGATCCATTGATTAAAGAAAACGGTTTGGTGGTGGGTGATGTTTTTGCTGAGAAAGAGGTCTGGGTGAAGTAGTCTGAAACAAAAGGATGGTGGATGTCAACATTGTTTGAGTTCAGAGAATGCACAATGCAATGTTTATTAGCTGTCACTCATCCTGTTTTAGGTCTCCAATGAAATTACTGGGTTGGATAAATGCATTTTGTTTATAGAAAGAAATTCAAATATTGAGAAATTGTACTCCCTGCAAACTCACCTTATATAGTACCAGGATTAACCTTAGGCTTATTATTGAAGATCCTGTTAAGCAAGTTAATGAATTCTTCAGATTTGGAGTCTATTGCTTACCTTTATGGTAAATTCTTGTTTCTTTAGGCACAAAGTTATTTCAAGATTATTTTGTTTACTAATGAATTAAAATTATTATTTGAATCCAGTTTGGTTCTATAAGTCCTCTTCATGTTTAGTTGCTCTTATTGATTAGATATACCTCTTAGGTGTATAAAATTTGTGTGATTGGTTTTATAAGTAGTGTGAATTTTTCATCCTAACCAAATACCATTCTATTCTCTATCTGTGTCACCATTGAACATAAACTTTATACTTCTCATATTTTCCCTCCTGCTTACCTTCAGTTGATCCATTGGTCGATGATTACTCTGGAAGTGGAGTCAAATGTGTGTATCATGTGTGTTGGTTCTTTCTGGTGCCCTGACTTGCTAGTATTCCTCTGCTGGGTCAGCTTTAAAATTAGCTTTGCATGCCAACAATCCTAACAAGGAAATCCCAGACAGAGCATTTAATGTAGAATTAGAAATTATCCTCCTTTAAAAAAAAAAGTAGTATATCAAAATAAAGTTCAGTTAAGTTTAATTTGTGGCTTGTACAAAGTTGAAAGACCTACCAGCCTATCATCACTGGGCTTGTTTCTTCTCTCATGTTATTAAATTTTATAGTTATAAAATCCCAGATAATGTGAGATTATTTTTATTTTATCTCAGGGCTTTGTTAGTTAATGTGAAAACCCTGTTAAGCTTGCACAGCTCTGAAGGTTGAAAGGCCTAAATTCAGTTCCTCAAGTCTGCAGGGTATTCATGCTATAAAACATCATTAAGCCCTTTGTGTCCACAGTGGCTGTTTGGCCACTTTCACCCTGTGGTGCCTTTAACAGCAGCATGATGTAGTGAAAAGATTGGGAGTCAGAAGGCTTCCCTTCTATCCCATCGTGGCTCCTTCCTGCTTATGGGACTTGGAGCAAGTTCTTTAATCTTCTAGGTTCTCCATTTCCGTCTCTGTAAAATGAGAAGGTTGGATGTGATGATCAATAAGTTCTCCATAAATCTATGATCCTGTTATCATTCTGCTCCATGTTTAGAGTAGCTTTCTATTTCCTCTATTTGGAGAAAGAAAAACCAAAACAAAGCCGGGGCAAGTCTGTCATAAAGTCTAGAAAATAAGTTTAAAATTTGAAGAGGGAACATTTTAAGACAGCATCATCCTTTGCTCTTCTCTCTGTATTCAATAGGCTTCATTCATTCCTACCATTTTGAATGTTGTCTTAGCATAGAGGACTAGTTTGATTTTGTTTGTTTATTTTAAGAAACTGAAGCAGACTGAAGGGACAGTAATGCTTGGTCACTTGTATTAAGGCCCCAGTGTTGAGTTGGTTGCTGTGATGTGGTTAAATGCTGACTTTCACATAATACTCTCATTAGAAAATGAGTATTTTGCTTTTGGGTAGAACATCTCTGTCTGAGATTTCCTGGCTGAATGACACTGGTGTGGTCACGACTTGATCTGGTCCTCGCTTCTGTGCTTAAGGTGCTTTTTCGTCTAACTCTTTCCTTGGCAGCAATAGCATTTCTGGAAAGCAATGCATGACTCAGTTTTGATTGTATAACAGCACATGATTGTAAGCCCTAGTCAGTTGCAACTATATCATTTTGGTTCACTCCTGTAATTTGATTTTGGGCGTGTGTGCGTCCATTGGACTTTGCAAATCAAATTCTTTATGTTGTTTTCCACCTGCCTGACCATTCAGTTGCTCTTTTTCTCCCCCTGCTGCCCTTTTAAATTGCCTCTTGGCTTGTGTTCTTGTTTCCTGTATTTGTAGATGGCGGTTTTCAAACTGACTTGAAGGAATCTTTTTTTTTGGCCCTCAGAGATGAGTTTAGAGTAAATAGACTTCCAGGAGTGAGTGAGCAGAAATAAAGGCCAAGTTTATTGTTTAGTACTTGTCATAATTAGCTCATTTGAAGAAACATATCCAGTTACTTTATTTAATTCTAGGCAAGTCATGTATTTTATCAGAATAAATACTGACCTAATTCTTACTTTTATATGAGTTCGTATCAGCTCACACCTGTGGATTTTCTCTGTCCTTTTTGTCTGAAACTTGGCTGGCTAATGTTCCATGAAGGAAGAACAAATAATAGATTCATGAAATCTAGTTTTATTTGTATGTATATTATTAAAGACAAAACAAATTTTATTGTAGAACTTGATAAATGAAAATATTTATATCCTTAAGTTGACAAAGCACTTAAAAATAGACATTCATTCAGTTATTTGGGAAATATGTACTATTTGTTATTCTCATTAAATTATAAATCCCAAGCTATGTCAAAAATCTGTACTCTTGTTCTGTGACTTTGTGTGTCAGACTTTAGTCTAGAGAACACTTAACTATAATAGCCATGATGACACACAGAGATAATAGAAAGATGGCAAATCATTAATTCCAGTAAATCAACCCTCACTACTGCAAAGCAACCCAGTAGCCACAGTTTTAGATCATAAAATGAAAGTTTGACCTAGGACCGTCATGTTTGCTTATACTCTGAGGGCAAAGAGCTCATGTAAACTAAGAGATAATTATCCTTTTTTATTTCTGTGCACTTACAAAATTGGAGACTAAACTATAATTTTAGAATTGCTCTTCTCTGCTGTAGACATTAACCAGAATACTGAGCATCTTAACCTTTATTAAAGTTTATAAAACTCCTATTTTTGGAAATACTTCTCTTTTTTGTATAAAATCACATCTAGGAGATTCCACTGGTGAAAGGCGTGGCAAGAAAATACTTTATTTCTTTCTAAAGCTGTAGATTTTTCACTGGTTTATTTCTTGAACCTTTTAAAAAATTCATACTTTTTTTTTTCCATTCAGGGGAATTGATGATATACAGATCACTATAGAACAAACAGACTGAACTCATCTTCCTTCAAGCATTGACCAGATATCCAAAAGGAATTCTAAGCATGAATAAGATTTTTCCCTTTTAGTTCTGTGAATCCCATCGGTCTGGGCAGCAAACTGTCTCTTGAAAGAGGGTTTCAAAAAATGTTATTGAGGTTTTAGTCTGAGATTTTTGTTGTATTTGAAAATTACAATTACAGTTTAATTTGAAAATTAAAACATTACTAGGCTTTCTTGGATTTCATAAAATACTGTGGGCCAAAATGATATCTTTATTCCAATATTGGCCGTATCACTTAATGAGCTTTACTAGGAAATGTTAGCTTATTTAGAAGACTAAGATCTTAAACCAAATTATAGTTCTTAACTCCAGAGTATTAGTGTTCAAGACAGACCTGTTTAAGAACTGCCATCTAAAATCATTAAACTTGTCTTCGTGTTGGCGCTTTAATGCTCTCCTTTCTTACACTGGTGTTCCTTCCTTTTTTTCCTTTTCCTCTGCTTCCTTTCCTCTTTTGTCTCCTTTTCCTATTTCTCTGCCTTCCCTTCTTTCTATCTGTCTCTCAGATCTGAAAGATTTTCAGAACAATAAGCATAGGTACTTGCTAGCCTCTGAGAATCAACGCCCTGGCAATTTTTCCACAGCATCCATGGGGTCCCTTACATCATCTCCATCTTCCTGCTCACTAAATAGTCAGGTGGGCTTAACATCTGTGACCAGTATTCAGGAGAGGATCATGTCTACTCCTGGAGGAGAAGAGGCCATTGAACGTCTTAAGGTAGGTGGCAATTTAAACTAAATACTAGGTCCTGAAAGGCAGCATGGCCTAGTGAATAGAGGTTTGGCCTTGGAGTTAGGAAAACCAGTGTTCAAAGCCTGACACTGACCGTGCTGGCTCTGTAACTCTGGACAATTCACTTGCTATCTCAATGTACCTGTCAGCTCTCTATAGCTTTAAGTTATAGATAAGTTGCCAGAGTGTATTGTAGGAGGGAGTTTCTGACCCTGGAGTTCTCTAAAAGCTGTCTTATCATTTAGGGTCACAGGATCAGAGATTCAGACCATGGAGGGCATGTAGTTCAAATTTTCATTTTATATATATGGAAATGGAGGCCCAGAGAGGATACATGACTAGCCCAGATTCATCCTGGCAGTGAGTGAGGTCATGTCCTTCCTGGTGAAATACTATGAGGTTCACAAGGAAGTGCTGGAATTTAGAAGATTTGGTTTGGGAGATGCAGTTGCAGGTTCTTTGTAGAATCACATTTAGGGAGAATTAGTAAACACATGTATGACTAAGTGTTTATGAATTTGTGCACCTCAGCCTTTTGTTAGTCACGTCATCAGACTCATTCCAATAAATGTGAGATAATATCCCTTGGAATATTCTAATATCATCATAGATGCCCTTTTTGCCTAAATATTGGCAATTCTAAAACTATTGGCATTCAGGAACCAAAACCATGTCTTCTGATGCTGAGTAGCACGTCAGCAAATTAACTAATGAGAGGAATGCCTGTCTCTTGCATCTTGCCTTATTTTTCATCCCGTGCTGATTATGTTTTGCTCTTTAATATTCAAGAATACAGAAAGCAAGAGAGCAACAAATCCTGCTCACACATTCTTCTCCCTTACCCTTGAGATATACATGGGAACAGAAAATGAGGCCGCACTGCCTCCACACTGAACTGTGTACTTGTCCATCTACCCACCCACCCATGCACTGAGCTGCAAAACAGATTCAGTGCTACTGTAGGGAAAAGGCTTTGCTTTGGTCCTCTTCTTTCCCCTTCACATCCCCAGGAAGAAAGTGTGAGCCAGGCCTTGTTGACTGTGTTCAAGAGATGGAGGGTAGTTCAGCTGGTTTGCTGCACTTCTCATCCTCATTCCATTGAATAATGTTGTTGCCGTGGATCTGCACAGGGCAGTCTCTGAAATCCTGTGATACTCACCTCCTAAATAAATTCTATAAAGCAGAAGATTTAATGCCAGGGAGGGATAGAGAAATAGACAGCACTTCAAGGCAGCGGGTAGTTTTATTTCATGTTGAAAGCTAATGGAGACAGTTTTTCTCCTCTTGCAGTCAGCATTTAGAATCACTGCTTCTCATTAAGGCACAGTTGGGAAATGCACTTTGGATTACTTAATGATTCAAAGTGCCGTGCTTCTTCACAACTAAAAGCCAATTAGGCCTGAGAACTGAGCATGTCAAATACTTTGAACACTCATGTGTGGCCAAGATCTGAGGGGAAAAAAAGATAATGTCTCCAGAATGGGAGTAGTTGCTTTTTAAAATTTATATTTAACAAACAAAAAAAGAAATCCTTGCTTGATAGAATTTTAATTTTTTTCTATAATATTTCTATCCTTGTTCCCTCTTATTTTCCTTCTCCAGCCCCCTTTTTATTTTGCATATTGCTTACTCTACAATGAGCAGCAACTTCTGAGAAAAGAAAATTAATTCTTTAGAATTGATTAAATTAATTTAAAAATTAATTCTTTAAAACACAGCAAAGAAAAATGAGAGAAGAGCACTCGTAAAGCAAGATTAACAAAAACAGTTTTCTGATATTGAAAAGCAAAGTTACAAAGATGGATTCTTGTGAATTTGTTAGAGGACAAGCATTTTCCCTTACTAAAATTCATTTATCGTGATGTGCTCCAATCATAAAGTTACTGGGAGAAGTTGTGTTCCTAACAAGAAAGGGAAATTTGGGGGTTATTTTCAAGACATGAAACCTAATCTGATTTTCAGTGCTGTAATAAACTTGATCAAATTAAACCTTCAAAATTCTTGACATTCAATTATTGGGAAAGATGGCAAAGTTGGTGTGTTCAGATCCCACCTCTGGCAATGGTTATGTGGTGTTGTGCCAGTCACTTACCCTTCCTGAGCAACCTCAGTTTCCTTATCTATAAGATGAAAGGTTTGGACTATCTGATCTCATAATACTGTTTTAGCCCTAAAGTTCTATTATATGATTTATTATTGAAAACTCTGTCTCCTTGGGGAAAAAAAATACTACATTTTCAATGTTAGATGTTGATTGATAAAGCTTTAATGTTCATTTGAAGCTGCTGCTTACTTTGCCCCATATCTTAGAATACTATCATATGAAACAAATGAAAGTAATCTATCTGTAAAGCATAGATATCAGAGCCCACCCACCAAACTACTTTAGAATTAGATCTCTAATTCCTTGAAGGAAGTTCCCAGTAAAATTTAAAGAAACATTCAGTTCTCTTGGAAAGGGAAAAAAGAGGAGGGAAAGTCAGATTGTTATGTACCTTCCACCACATCAGATCTTTGGAGGTTAGGAATGTGTTTCTTATAATAAAATACGATGGCAAATGCCAAGGGAATAAATTAGTAACAATGGCTTGACTATTCTGGGATATTTTACAGTAAGTACAGTTCATTTTCTTCATTAGAGAAGAAAATCCTTCATCCTCTTCTCAGAGTAATCTGAATAACTTTAATTATTGAGTCATTACTTTGTTTTCAGTTCACCTGTAGGTAAAAAGTAATGGTAGTTTTCCATTTTCTCCAGTTTTATTCATGAGAGAAAAGGATTTTGGTGTATCTTTCACATACCACTGCAGTCAATTGAAGCTTAAGTTTCTTAGAGCTGCTGCTGTTTTGTGATTGGTGAGAGTTCCTTTGGGGAAGACCTATCTTCTCTTGCATTTTAATGCTGTGGTTCGATAACATTTGGTTTGCCCTGTGCAGTATTTTTCAAATGAAAAGTCTAAGAATGTTTAATGTTTGAGAGTCAAGAAACTATTTTTAAGAGAGAACATTTCTGGGCAAAATGAGGGTAATGGAAAAACTGCATCTGTATAATAAAACTTTGACTCATGGAATGAATCATGCTAGATATGTGATTATTCTGAACAAGTAAAGGGTTTAACAAACCTTTTTAAGTGATTGAACTCTTATTAAGTGTTAAATTTTTTTAATGAAAAGACATCAGAAATGTAAAATAAACCTTTATTCATCAATTGCCATTAAAAACCATCTCTACTGTTGCTCTTGAAGTAATCATTGATGCTAGTGGCTTGTTAACAGGTATGAATCCTTAGTACTTTGGGTGGGGAGACTATCTTTCATGTATTATTTCTTATTTAGCTGTGGATTTTCCTCCCCTCAGGAATCTGAGAAGATCATTGCTGAGTTGAATGAGACATGGGAAGAGAAGCTTCGTAAAACAGAGGCCATCAGGATGGAGAGGTTAGGAAAAAAAGCCAGGAGCACTTAAGAGCTGGTCTATGTAACCAGTAGGATTAGACTACAGAATGAAAATTACAAACTTGTGATGAAGTCTATAGTTACATAGTAAGCATAATTTTTAATGCTCTTTAGGTATCCATGGAAGACTGCAGATTACCAAAGTAAAATTTTTTTCATTTGCAAAGATAGATTGATATTGATAGAGGCTGGAATTTTAAAAGTAGATCTGTTTTCCTATGTCTCTTGACATTTACCTTTTTTTTTCTAGAATCATTTTCATGTGGGATAAATTAACTTGATTTTTCTTTTAATTTAAATTTTGAACTTTAATACAAAAAGACAAAAACTTCCCTTTACACAGCACAATACAAAGAGAGGATTCAATATGGAACCATGAATCTCCATTTCACAGTTTACTTTTTTGAAAAACTATGTTATAAATACTGCACATCATTTTCAAAGCTACCCTGCCTTTCTGTGCTTCATTCTGAGTTTTCTTTTGTTCTCTGCTGTGCTCTTTTATATTTTTTTCTCCCTCTCTCCCCACCCCACACTAGAGAAGTTCACCAATAGACACAGATGTGTACGTATATGTAAAATCATTTTATATTTATATATATGTGTACATATGCACACACATATACATATACACACTTTTCTATTTATAAGTTCTTTCTCTGGAGGGGAATAATATCTTCCTTCATAGGTCCTATGTAGTTGATTTGAGTATTTGAAATACCCAAAATAACTTAGCTGTTCACAATTGTTCTAACAATATTGCTGTTGCTGTATATAATGTTCTCTTGGTTCTGCTCATTTCAACCTTTATTATTTCTTGGGAGTCTTACCATGTTTTTCTAAAATCAGCCAGCTCATTGTTTCTTAAAGCACAATAGTTTTCCTTCACAATCACATACCTAACTTATTTAGTCATTCCCTGATTGGTGGGCATCCCCTCAATTTTCAGTTCTTTGCCACCGCAAAGAGAGCTGCTGTAAATATTTCAGAACATGTAAGTTCTTTTCCTTTTTTTCCAATCAACTTGGGAAACAGACCTAATGGTGATATTGTTGGGTCAAAGGGTATACATAGTTTTATAATTCTTTGGGCACAATTCCAGATTGCTCTCCAGAATGGTTAGATCAGTTTACAATTCCACCAATAGTGTATTAGTGTCCCAATTTTTCCACATTTCTTCCAACATTTGTCATTTTAGCCAATGTGATAGGTGTAAGATGATACCTCACAGTTGCTTTAATTGCATTTCTCTCATCGATAATAATTTAAAGCATTTTTGTATGACTATATATAGTTAGGACTTCTTCATTGAAAAACTGCCTGTTCGTATGCTTTGACCATTTATCAGTTGGGGAATAAAAGGTAACTTAATTTCCAAAATTTTTTTCCCTCGCTTTTCTTTACCTACCCTACTTATAGGCAATAATGAAGTACTTTTTGTTTCTAAATAAGTTTATATTCAGAAAACATTTTTTCCTTTCCTGAAAGCCCTTCAAAACAGTACCGACTGATGTATTAATTTAATACATGAATTGAGCATATTTTAACTCATACTTCCGAGGTTCAGCAGTTTCATCAGCTTAGGTAATTCCTTCCTTGGCACAGATCTCAATTCTTCCCTGCCTCAGTAGGTCAGTGTTCATGAGTTGCTGGGGCTGAAAAAATGTATTACCAGGTAATGAACCTCTCTTCCAATTGATTTTCTGATGATAGAACTGTTTATTTGTTGAAGAAATACTACTCTTAAAAACAAAACAAAACAAAACAAAAAAAAGAAATACTACTCTTTTAGCAGAATGTATTTGTGCATAAAGGCTCACATATTGCTGAGAATAAAAACAAAATATTTACTCAAACATATCTTCATAAACATTATTTCTTTCTTATTTAAAACAAAACCAAACCAAACCTTATTCCAGAGGCCTTAGTGAAGATTTTTAATATGAAGTAGATATTTTTTCTCTTAAAATTGACTTCTGTTTTATTTTGATTAAGAAGTAATATCTGAGTTGGCAGATTTGTCCTAATACTTTTGGTTTTTATCTCAATAAATATACTTAAGGAAATGTAACAAACTCCACAGTTAAGATTTAGTTTGTGACAAGGGGCAGCTAGGTGGCGCAGTGGATAGAGCACCGGCCCTGAAGTCAGGAGGACCTGAGTTCAAATCCAGCCTCAGACCAAACACTTGACACTTACTAGCTGTGTGACCCTGGGCAAGTCACTTAACCCCAATTGCCTTAAAAAAAAAAGATTTAGTTTGTGACAGACTGAGATAGCTATCAAAAATACTTCTTGATGAGTATTTTTGTAAATAAAATTGTGATTTAATTTATCTACTCTTGACCATCATAGATATGTTTTTCTTGGATTTAATTTTAGGGTTTTGCAGAGTGCTATTTTGTGTAGTAAGTTTATATCATATGCTCATTATTTTTGTAATGCAGAAACTTAAAATATGTATTTGGAATATGTACTTTATAATAATTTTATCAATAAAGCTGAGTGATATTTTTTAATTATTTAAAAAAAAATTTAAATTACTTGTTGCCAGGTTATATTCAAAGCTTTTGTAGCTTGGTAGGAAATGCTGTAACTTATATCCTGTTAGTGTAGCTTTTAAATACCTAAAGTGTTTACTCCATACCATAAACTTATTTTGATTCACTTACTACATTTCTCAGTTAGTTTCAGTTCCATTGAAGTATGAAAAGTGTGTCATTGATGTGCTTATCTTGCTTTTTCTAGAGAGGCCTTATTAGCTGAAATGGGAGTTGCCATTCGGGAAGATGGAGGAACTCTGGGTGTCTTTTCACCGAAAAAGGTTGGAAAAATTTGTCCTAATCAAATGGAAATATCTTCTACTTTCTGAGTTCTCTCTTTGGCCTTAGTCACTCAAGCAGCTCATGTCTTTGAGATAATCCCTTTTCATCTTGTTATATGGCTTAACTTTAATCTTGCTGGTTTCATTTTAAGATGTGCCTTCAATACAAGAACAAGCTGTGTCTCTGCATCATACTTTAGTAATTATAAATAACAAACGAGACAGTATGCCTGCTATTGAAATCACATTCATACTCCATTATATTTAGTCATCATCCTGCTAAGGTTTTTTTTCCCATGTTGCTTCAGCTAAAGCTCATCTCTCATGTAGTTTTTCCCTCAGAGGCCATCAACCCTATTTGATGATTCTTTGGAAGAATTTTCAGCTGACCAGGTTTGTGTAGGGAAGTTCTTTTAGACAATTAGCTGTATAGAAACTAGTCAATTCTACCTCTGCCAATCCATATACTAAAGCCCTTTAGGTCCTGCCTCGCCACCTCATTTCCTCCTTTCTTTGCTTTTCCTTTGTACAATTCTTGTAACTATCTTTCTACCTGCGGCAAACATAGTTATAACGTCTATTTTATATAATGTTTATTTTAGCCTGTAGTTGGATTTTTTATTTTGCAATTATAAAATTTTACAAATTCTTATTATGTTGTAGCCTAGTTAAAATTGAAAATTACTGTTTAACTGTTTAGTTCACATATGCATGTGTGTTTAATGACAGACCAGGAGGATTCACTGTATAAACTATTTATGGTTAAGACAGCCTATTTAATTGGTCACTCAGTTCAGATGACAGAATTGGCCTTGGACACTTACTTACCTATTGTCCTCATGCTTAAAGGGGTTTAAAGATGGACTCCTTATATTATTGTAGAGAGAGCAGAGCGAATTTTATATCATTAGCATTTCTGTTTTGGTGATAGGGAATTGTTGTTATTGTTGATTTCCTGTATCTTTTGATTAGATTTTCCCCTCAAAGCCATGTGACTTTTTTGGGGGGGTTAGGGGGAGGGTGCTGTAAGACAAGTAACAACACAGGAAGCATTGGAGTTTTTAGGCTCCAGCCTCTAACAGGTTCACTCTTAATCTGGGCAGCCAGAAAGACAGGAAGATAGCTTCAGAGAGGTTAAATAAGCTTACTTGATTCTAGTCTAGTCTGCTCAAGAGGGATGCTGATAATGGGAGCACCAACGCCTGCAGCATTCCCTAATCATCCTTCTCGCAGGGGCAGGTGAGAATAGGAATATGACTCCTAGCATCACTAAGCCTCAATGGGGCTGGTTGAGGCAAACACACAGATTCCCCCCCAAGACTTGATGGGGACTGATCAAGACAGGCACATGCATTCCTCTATGCATTACCCAAATCCCAAAATGGGTTCCCCACTCACCAGTGCCCACTTGCTTTATAGAGCAACAGACAAAGATGGAATACATTACCTCATTGTTATATCTCACTATGCAGTCGCAGTGGATATTTACAATTTAAACACACATGTTTATATTATTTATCATTATATAATGCTATGTGAATGTGGTAGACATGTTTATAAGTCATGAGCCTGAGAAATATTATCTAACACCTGGAAACTAGAGATTGTTATGGCCATCGAGCCTGGGAACTGAACTATAAGACAGAATAACAGAAATCCACCTTACTTACAGGGGCTAATTCTGGTGGTTTTTTTTTTGTTGTTGTTGTTGTTTTTTTTTTTTTTTTTAACTGAGCCTTGCTTTACACTCACCTGAAAAAATTGAGAGTTCCTTCTTTCTCATTCCACATGGCTCAGATGGAGCCCCTCTGTATATCCTCCTTCATTCCTTTCTTATATAAAGAAGTGATCTTTCTTGCCAAGATAAATCTGTCTATATGCACAAATGATCCTATTCCATCCAGTTTTCTCTAGCAGATTGCTCTGTATCATCGCCTCTTTCTCTCAGTATTCTACAGTTTCTTCCTATTTACTGGCTTCTCTGCTACCTACAATTCTACGCATATCTCCCCCATCCTTAAAAAACCTGTCATTTCATCTATTGTCCCTTGTCTTTCAAATTCTTTCTCATTTAAACTCCTTGAGAAAGACATCTACCTTAGGTTCTTTTACTTCCTCTCCTCCCAGTCTCTTCTAAACTTTGTGCAAACTGGCTTCCAAACTCATCATTCAACTGAAAACTACTGTCTAATATTACCAGTGATTTCTTAATTGCCAATTCTAATGTCTTTTTTCAATCCTCATCCTTCAAAGCTTTTGACAATGTCAGTTACCCTCTTCTGAATACTAGCTCTTGGTTTTCATGACACTACTTCCTCTAGGATTTTTAGCTACCTATCAGGCCTCTCCTCCATCTCCATTGTTGAAGGGTCATCATTCACATTATGTTCGGTGATCATGAGTATCCTGAAAAGTCTGTTCTGGTCCCTCTTTTCTCCTCCCTCTAGTCTATCTTACTTGGTGATCTCATGAACTCACGTGGACTCAATTATCATTTCTGTGTAGATAATTCCCAGATCTGTATATACAGCCCTAACCTCTCTTGAACTCCAGGCTTGCATCACCAATTGCCTCTTGGACATCTAAAATTCAACATGTCCACAATAGAGCTCATTCTCTTTTCCCCCAAATCCTCACCTCTTCCCAAATTCTTGTTACTATCAAGGGCACCATCATCTTCATAGTCACCAATATTCACTACCTCAGTGTTATCCTTAACTTCTCTCACCCTTACTCCATACACCCAATCTTTTGCTAAGTCTTATTGTTTCCATCTTCACAACATTTCTAGTTATATGTCCCTTCTCTCCACTCACACAGCTACCACCCTTGTACCGCAGCTTCCACCACATCATTCCTAAGCTATTGCAATAGCTTTCTCATTGCTTTCCTTGCCTAAAGTTTCTCCCCTACTCCAGTCTATCCTCTACTCAGCTGCCAAAGTGATCTTCCTAAAATGCAGCTCTGACCATATCACTTCTATCTCTCTACTCAGTAAATTCCAGTGGTTCCATTTTACCTCTAGAATAAAATCCTCTTTGGCTTTTAAAGCCTTTCACAAATTAACTCCTTCCTATAATTCGAATCTACTTAACGCTGTACTCCTCTACATATTTTATAATCCAGGGAAGCTTCCCTTCTTGCTGTTTCTTGAACAAGATGCTCCATCTCTTGCCTTCATGCCTTTTCACTCATTTCTGGGATGTTCTTTATCTTCACTCAAGCTTCCTCTGTTGGTTTTCCTGAAGCTCAAATCCCACCTTCTTCCAGAGATCATTCCTGGTCCTTCCCATTCCCCACGCCCATCTGCTAGTGCCTTCCCTCACAGATTACACTACGTTTTCATTGTGTATATCTTTTATATGCTTTTTTTTTGCATATTGTCTCCCTATTAAAATATGAACTTCTTGAGAATTGAAATTGCTTTTTGACTTTCTCTGTATCTCCAGGATTTAGCATAGTTCCTGGCACATAATAGGCATTTAATAAATGCTTTTCTATTTGAGGGCGTGGATAGTGGTTTTTTTTTTCCATTTTTTGTTATTATCTGCACTTGGCACACTGCCACACACACATAGGAAGCAGTTAATAAATGCTTGCTGAAATATTGTAAAGACAAAACAGCCTTGAAAGATTTAGAAACTCTGATTGATGCAGTGACCAACCACAGCTTCATAGGACTTATGATGAAGCACGTGGCTAACCTCTTGACAGAGAGGGGATGGAGTCAGAATGCAGATTGAGGCATGTGTATATGTGTGTGTGTTTTATTTAACATGGCTAATGCAGGAATTTGTTTTACCTAACTTTACATGTTGGGACTAGTTTTTTTTTTCTAGCGTCCTCAGATTTGGAGAGAAAGAGAATTTGACGTTGAAAATAAAATAAGTTCCAATTTAAAGAAATAAATGCTTGTTGACTTACTAAAGTAGATTGGTTTCAAGAAATTTTAGAAACATTTTAAGGGTAGGCAAAAAGTCTTTTTGATATATTAATTTAGATTACCAAGTGTTAGCAGCTTAAACTTCTTCTTAAGTGGACTTTGTTTATTCAGCTATAACATTTGGGGAAACTTGCACAAGGCAATGCTTGGTAAAATTTAGATGAAGTCTACATGGGACCTAGAGATTTCCCTATGGTCCGGATAAGGAATCTTTTGTACTGTCTGATTTTTGGAAATGACAGTGGCATCGAACATGAAATCCTATCATTTCGTAGCATTTCCTTCATATTTTACTTGGACTTTCTAAATAAACTTCATGAGAAAAGGAAATGATTGATGTCCGTAGAAGTGATCAAAACTCAGTTTTGGAAGCTATTTGCTTGATTTCAGTTTCTTGAGTTGCTATTCCCTTTTCGTCACTTTGAGTATATATCTTTTGACTTAAAAACTGCTGTCCATATAGCTCTTGAAATTTCCTTAATGGATGATCCTGTGAAGTTTTCAGAACGGGATTTAAAAAAAAACCTTTTCATAAAAGATTCTCTACACATAAGATTGTAAAACATGAAAGGAACTGCTTTGTTGTTAAATGACTTATTAAATATAGTACATATGGACAGTAGTCTTGACTTTCAGAGGAGTTCTGATGATTCCTAGGAGGTAATTCCAAAGTTTTGTATCCAAATATTCCAATTTTTTTTTTTTTTTTACCTATTATAGTGTTAGTTTCTGGTTTGGGGGAGGTGGCTTTTTGTTTTTCTTTGGGAACCTCTGCACCCTCTTTCCTGCTTTCATTTCTTTAACTGCCCTCTAACTCTTCTTTTGTTCTTCATATCTTGCTGCCTTACCCTGGTTAGATTTTTACCCCAAGACCATGTGACTTATTTGTGGATTCCAGTGGGGTATTTTCACCAAAGAAGGTTGGTTTTAAGAGTTTTAGAAACGTTGTAGAAATAGGTGAAAAGCATTTCTAAATAAACATATGTGCTTATATTAGCAAGTATCATTCATTTAGATTTTTCTTTGTAACTTGGATTATTATACTAAACCAAAGCCACAGAATGTACTTGAGGAGAAGTAGCAGAAGGTAGGGAGGAATAAAGGAAAATAATGGGGCATATTTTGTAACTATGAAGATTGAGTTTCTTTCACTACATTCTGTATTTGTGTAGTATTTTGTAGACATTTTCACTTTTTCTTTTTAAGAATTGTAACTGAGTTAGCTTAATCCTGTCTCATGCTTCTTATGCTTTGTCCCTCTCTAAAATTAGTCTCTGCTATTATTTTTAAAATTTCCATTTTTAAGAAAATTAATTTGAATATGTTGACAAGATGTAACATGGAGAAATTTTGCTTTATTATGGAACTGCCACAGTTTGTTCTGGTGGCAAAGAAAGTTCCTTTTGTACACTGACGGGAAAAGAAGAGATAAACCATTGGTCTCTTGTAGGATCTAGTTAGCTCCAGCTGGCCCTCTAAGGAATGATTTAATCTTCTTCTGGACTGAGAATGTTTGTAATGTTTTTCAGACACCACATCTTGTTAACCTCAATGAAGATCCACTCATGTCTGAATGCTTGCTTTACTACATCAAAGATGGCATTACACGGTAAATGTGTTTTTCTTTTTTAGTTAGGTTTTTTTTTAGTTTTTTTATTTATTTATTTATTTTTAGTTAGGCTTTACTTATAAACTAGCTGATTTAATAACTGGAGTGATGTTCTCCTTTGAAAAACTCATTTTTGTGAATTGCTCTTTTTTTCTTTTTGAAGTAGTTTGTCTGAAACTGTCCTTTTAACCCTTCTCAAGTTACAAAATGGTCTTTGCTAATGTAGTCTCCATGATAACTCCTGGTATGGGTACTTTCCCCCATAAAACATTGGGTAATAATATTCTTAAAAACATTTTCAGTGTTAACCAAGGAGGCTTAAAGTCTTGATTGCCATCTTGAAACATTAAACTGGTCACCTTAATATGCCAAGTCACTTTGATTTAAATTTTTTTGATACTAGATCTTTATGATATTCTAAAACATAATTTTTAATATGCAGTTTTTAATATTGATCTTAGTATTTAATTAGAAACTGGGTAATGCACCATGAACATGTCTGTTTTCTCCTGTTTCTTGTGCCTCGTTGTTCCTGGGAAACATTTTCTCTTGGATACAGGGTTGGCCAAGCAGATGCTGAACGGCGCCAAGACATAGTGCTTAGTGGGGCTCACATTAAAGAAGAGCACTGCATCTTCCGGAGTGAGAGGAATCAGAATGGCGAAGGTGAGGATCCTTGATTTCAGTTTTATTCTATGTTCTGAAAAACCCCACGTAGAGTTTTCCCTAACATTTTCTTTAGAATCAGTATGGTGTGTTATCCATAGTGGAGGACCCTGGTTTCCTTAAAAATGCAGGGGCCACTGTAGCTTTTTTGCATGAAAATGGCCTCAACAAAGTGGAGCTCTGTTGCCCAGCCAGCCGCTGTATAGGCAGCTGAGTATGGCCCTGAATAGTGATGATTTCATAGAAAAGAAGGCAGAGGGCAAATTGACATCGACAGAGGCCTGCAGGAACTCCATCCACGCTTTTACTCAGTAGACTTGATTTTTATTTTATGTGAAAAGGGGAAAAAAGTTCCAGACCTCATTTATCCTAAGCTAAAAAAAAAAAATCAGTACTTTTGTGCTCTGTTCATTCTTCCTCAATCAGAATGTAATAGTCCTTAGTTGCTTCAAGATTTCAGATGTTTGCCTGACTCTTCCTCTTCAGGACATCCCTCCTTTCTGTTTCCTGCTTTCTTGAGGGAACTATTTTTAGATGATGCTTAAGACCGTATTCTCTTTTTCATTTCTCTTCATTACCCAAAGGAGATTAAAAAAAAACTTCTCTATCCCAACCTGTTCATTCTGTGATTTTAGCAGTAGTTTATATAATTTATGTAACTTTAATGGGTGCTATTTCTGGCTTTAATCTTGTCACAAAGATTAAATTGGTATAGAGTTACTTTATACTCTATACCAATAGATTGTTCAGTGAATTTAGTCTAGCAATGACATGGTCATAGTTTTATATTATTCTAAAGGGGCTTGAGTGAAAGCTAGATTCTTTATTCTGCATTTGGAATTCATTGAGTTCAGGAATACTTCCAGTGTTCAGTGCCATGGGTTTGTAATCCTTACTCCATTTTACCTTTCTTGTAGTTATTGTGACTTTAGAACCTTGTGAGCGCTCTGAGACTTATGTGAATGGCAAGAGGGTTGTACAGCATGTACAGCTACGCTCAGGTAAGTGTGGACAGATTCTTAATGCTCCTGACACAAATGTTATGTTTCCGATTGTAGCTTGTGTGAATAATACTTTGATTTTGTCTTTTGACTTAAAGCAGTGAGCTAAAGTGAGAAGTTTGTGTATATATAGTCTACTCTGTTTCTTCCTTTAGTAGGCAGAGAGAGGTTACAGATATTTGTTAATTATATTTTTGAATAGTTTCCTAATCCTGATTTTATTGTTTTACTCTTTTTTTTTTTTTTTTGAGTTCCAAATTCTCTCCCTCCCTCCCTCCAGCTCCTCCCACACCCACTGAAAAAGCAAGCAAGCAGTGTGGTACCCATCATTGTATGTTGAAGTCATACAAAACATATTTCTGTATTAATCATGTTGGAAAAAAAGAGCAAGAAAAATAAAGTGAAAAACAGTCTGCTTCAGTCTTCACTGTTGACCAGTTCTCTTTCTGGAGGTGGAAAGTGGTTTTTTTGGGTTTTTTTTTTTATCAGTCCTTTGGAATTAATCTTAGATCATTGTATTGATCAGAATAGCTAAGTCTTTCACATTTTATCATTGTACGGTATTGCTATTACTGTGTACAGTGTTTTCCTGGTTCTGCTCACTTCATTTTGCTTCAGTTATTTAAGTCTTCTAAGGTTTTTCTGAAACCATCTCCCCTCGTCATTTCTCTAAATATTTAAATTTAAATAAATATTGCTATAAAAATTTTTGTACATATGGATCCTTTTCCTTCTTCATTTGTCTCTTTGAGATTCAGACCTAGTAGTGGTATGGCTGGGTCAAAGAGTATGTGCAGTTTTCTAGCCTTTTGGGCATAGTTCCAGATTGTTCTCCAGAATGGTTGAACCAGTTCACAGATCTACCAGAAATATGTTAGTATCCCTATTTTTCTGCATCCTATTCTGTATTTGTTATTTTTCTTTTCTGTCATCTTGGCCAATCTGATAGGTGTGAAGTGAGCTTTGAACAGTTTTGAGCTGTTTTAATTTGCATTTTTCTAGTCAATAATCATTTAGAATATTTTTATGTGACTGTTGATACCTTTGATTTTTTTCCTTTTGAAAACTACCTATTCATATCCTTTCACCATTTATCAATTGGGGAATGGTTCTTATTTTTATAAATTTGGTTCTGTTCTCTATATATTTGAGAAATAAAACCTTTATCAGAGAAATTTGCTGTAAAAATTTTTCCCCCAGTGTCCTGCTTTCCTTCTAATTTTGGCTACATTGGTTTTGTTTGTATGAAAAGTTTTTAATTTCATGTAATCAGAATTATCCATTTTATTTCCTGTGATCCTCTCTGTCTCTTATTTGGTCATAAACTCTTTCCAGAGATCTGATAGATAATTTCTTCCATGCTCCCCTAATTTGCTTATGATATTACCCTTTATGTCTAAATCACATTTTGATTTTATCTTTTTTGAGCTTATCTTGGTATACGGTGTGAGATGTTGATCTGTGTCTAATTTCTGCCAGACTGCTTTCTTGTTTTCCCAGCATTTTTTTGTCAAATAATGAGTTCTTGCCCCCCCCCAAATTTGGATCTTTGGGTTTATTGAACATTATATTACTATGGTCATTTACTATTGTGTATTGTGGGCCTAATTGATTCCACTAATCAATCACTCTATTTCTTAGCTCGTATCACATTGTTTTGATGATTACTGCTTTGTAAAAATATAGTTTGAAATCTGGTTCTGCTAGGCTGCCTTCCTTTACATTTTTTTTTATTGATTCTCTTGATATTCTTGATCATTTGTTGTTCTAGATGAATTTTATTATTTTTTTCCCTAGATCTTTAAAAATACTTCTTTGGTAATTTGATGGGTATGGCACTGAGTAAGTAAATTAATTTAGGTAGAGCTGTCATTTTGATTATATTGACTTAGCCTACCCATGAGCAATTAATTTTTCTCCAGTTGTTTAGATTTGGCTTTATTTGTGTGAAAAGTGTTTTGTCTTTTTGTTCATGTAGTTCCTGGGTATCTTTTGGCAGGTAGACTCCCAAGAATTTTATACTGTCTGCAGTTATTTTGAATGAAATTTCTCTTTCTATCTCTTCCTGCTAGATTTTGTTGATAATATATAGAAGTGCTGATAATTTGTGTAGGTTTATTTTATATCCTGCAACTTTAGTAAAGTTGTTGTTTTGACTGGTTTTTTAGTTGATTCTCTGAGGTTCTCTAAGTCTGATTTTATTTTATGCTAGGAAATCGCATCATCATGGGTAAAAATCACGTTTTTCGTTTCAACCATCCGGAGCAAGCACGGGCTGAGCGTGAAAAGACTCCATCAGCTGAGACACCTTCTGAACCAGTCGACTGGACATTTGCCCAGAGAGAGCTTCTAGAGAAACAAGGCATTGATATGAAACAGGAGATGGAAAAAAGGTAATCTATAAATTCCTTATTTTGATTAGTCCTCCTGATACTCAGTTTATTAAAGTAATCATTGGAGAAGGCTAGAAGAGCTGTTCATGGATATGTCTTCATTTCCTAGGCCACATACTTAAAGAGGGGCCTTCTAAAGAGAAATAATAGGAATTATAGCATCTTAGAGCTGGAATAGATCTTAAGGTTCACTTGATTTTTGGATTTTCTGTTGTACTAGCTTGTGTGGACTGAGTAAAATAACAAAAATACAGCAATAAAAATTTTACATGTGATCTGTCAGAAGAGACTTTTTAATGTAACTCTGTGGAGTTGCTTAATTTTCTGCCTCCAGTTTGATTCTTTTCCCCTTCTCTTGTTTTATAGGCTGCAGGAAATGGAAATCTTGTATAAGAAAGAGAAAGAAGAAGCTGACCTCTTACTGGAGCAGCAGAGACTGGTAGGCACCTGCCTGTGCTGATCCACTGGATAAGCAGCCCAGCGCAGCCTCTCTGCCATGACTGATGCCGTAGAGGTGTGCTGGCTCAGGGTGTGCCCCTGCGCTGTCCCTGATACCGTAGTCTAATACAGGCCTTCTTAAGCTTTTTCCACTCGCAACCCCATCAGCACTTCTTAATCTATGGGTTGTGATGGTGGGACCCCATACAGGGTCGCAACCCACAGTTTAAGAAGCACGGGCTAGTATACCTTTTCCTTAGTGAGAACTAACCCATGCCTATTAAACTGAGCCTGAAAAACTCTGCAGGAAGGTTTGGGCCTTTTGAGAGTTTCTTTAAGTCAGCACCAAGCGTTTTGGGGGAAGCAATGGGGCTTTTCCAGGGTAGCAAATTGGGCAGAAAGATTTTCTTTCATGTAGCTGAGTTGTCTTTGGATTTGAATCCTCAATGGTCTTATCAATTATAACTGATGTGGATTTTTTAACTTGTTGGATGTTTGCCTTGGTTTTGTCTTTGATCACATGAAATTACTAATTCTGTCTTCTTGGGCTGACTCAGTTATGATTTTCTTGTGCTGGGGTTTTTTGTTTTGTTTTGTTGGTTTTTTTTTTTAAAATATATTGTGTCTGAAAATGTTGCTGCACAGTTGCATGTTTTAACCTCTTTCCTACCCCCGCATGGAGTCTGAATCATCTGCCAGGGTCTTTATTGTCACTTTATATGGTGATATAGGGTCAAAGCAGGAATGAAGAGCAAAGTCTTTTTTTTTTTTTTAGCCTCATTTAAATATGAAGGAAGTAGTTGAATGGTTAACTGCTCATCCAGTAAACTTAAGTTCCAAGTATGTCAACAATGGTCTATGCACTTTTGAGGTTAGTTAGTTTTTATGATTTACAGAAAGTTGCTCTCTTGAAGAGAGCTTCATTTTTAGACATTGTTAGTTCAGTTACCTGAAGTCTAGTTAGAAGAAGCTTCTGGATATGTTGATTGATAAAATTGAGGGAACAGAATGACCTCAGGAGACCAGGCATGATTTTTTAGGAATTTGTAATTTTAACTTTTTTTTTTTAAGGTGAAGGGAGAATTGAGGAAAGGAGATAATTGTTTACTTTCTTTCCTAACTCTAAGGTGGTGAATATTGCCTTTCACAATAATGTGTAACATGTAACAGTCTTATATCCACCTTCTGAACTTGGCAGAAAAGTTGTGACAAATGAAAACTCAGAATCCCTGAGCTGTAGCAGCTTTTTCAGTATGGCACAATGGTCATGCTTGGTATGGGGTTGTGCTTCTTGTGTGTGATCTTGGCAACTTCAGTCAAGTTGAAAAAGGAATTGAGGATAAAGGAGAATCACATGGGGTGGAGGAAGGGCAGGTGAAGTAAGTTTAGCTTGTGGGAAGTGACTATGAAAAGCCCTCTTGGGAGGGGCACAGAATTTTTAGTAATTTAAAATGGTTTATGATACATGAAGGAAGCTTTATCTCAGTATAGTAACATGATCTAATGAAATTTCTGTACTGCACCGCAGAGAACAAAAAAGGGCAGATGTGATAACACTATTATTGTAATAGTATAAAACATTGGTGTCCCTTTAGTTCCCTAAATATAGAAAAAATTTTTGGAAAATAGGTTTAGTTGTTAAATGGTTTAGTTCTAATGAAGCAACTAGGTGATGCAGTGGTTAGAGTGCTGGGCCATGAGTCAGGAAGATCAAGGTTCAGATCAGGCCTCAGTCATTTACTAGGTTTGTGACCCTGGGCAAGTCACTTTACCTTTGTCTGCCTTGGTTTCCTCATCTGTAAAATGAGAATTATAGTAATACTTCCCCACCAGGGTTGTTTCAAGGATAAAATAAGTTAATATTTGTAAAAGCACTTTGCAAATCTTAAAGCACTATAAAAATGATAGCTATTATTATCATGATCATTATTATTCTGGTAAATAGTAATAAGTGTTGAGGGTTTGATTTACCACTATTATTAGCTCCTGACAGCAAGCCAGTATTTTTTAAACAGCTCAGTTAATAATAACACATAGGTTGTTTCCATATCTCTTATTTATAAAATAGGCATATGTTTATTATCAGCCAATATATACAAAATGATGTTCTAGACATTGAAGATACAAGAAAGTGTCAAACATGGTCGTAGGGCTTCTTTACGCAGAAAAAGCTTAATAAAATTTGTGTGTAGCATGTATTTAGTACTTTTACATAATAATTTAAAAGAAAAATCCAGGTCCCACAGTTTTAACTTGATATATTCTCAAGCTAGACACATTGGTGGGATATTATCTAATTTTCTGTGATTTGTAGTTGTTGCATTATTGTTCCTGAATTGCAAATAACTCCTCTTCTACAGTGGTTGCTAAGTGGTTTAGACTTTCTCTTGGCATGTCAGGATCTCTGTGTATTTTGAGATCCACTCATTTTAGTTGTCCCCTCACGTAAAGGCTCTATCTGGGAGTCTTCTATTGTATTTCTACCCACGGCTGAGTGTTTAATGATTCCTGAATCTGTCTTGTAGAGGATGTGGCAGAAGTGCTAGAGTAATATTGTTTTTGGCATTCTGTTAAACATCCATGAATGTCACAGTTTTAGAAGTATGTTTTAAAACATAATAAATGAAACCAAGTAACTTAAGTAGTTATCACCTGAGATTAGCATTGAAATCTCAGCTACTGGCATTGATTATAATCTTTCTCTGGGCTTGATTTGGATTAACTTCATTGTTCTGTAGCTTTTGTTTTAAAGGCTTTGAATGTAAAATTTTCTACTCAAACAATTAATTGATTCAGGAGTGAGAATACTTAACCATTTTCTAAAGTAGTTGGTGCCCACTTTATCCTTAAACTCTTGTAGGGATATTAGAAAGAAAGAAGTACAGAAGGAGTAAGGAAGAAAAACAGTTAATTAACATTGTATGTGAAAAGTGTAACATTTTCCTTGCCATCCCAAAACCATAGTTTCATTCCAGGCTCTAACATGTATTAGCTCTGTGACCCTGGACAGGTCATTAAGCCTCAGTTTCCTTCTCATTGAAATGGTGGTAATAATAGTTATACTGCCTACTTCCTAGGTTGCTGTGGTGAAAGTGTCATAAACCTTAAAATACTATGTTAGATGTAGTTATTGTTATGATTAACAACACTATTAGAGACTTTGACTATGTGGATGAGTAATTAATTCATAAGTAAACTCTGCTCCTTTATGTCACTTGAAGAAAAGCAACAAATATACTTAATTTAAAAAGAAAAAAGAGGGGAGAAATCCTTACAGGAAAGATCTGAAAGGGACACTAAGAAACTGAAGAAATGGGTAAACAAAAATACTTCTTCACCCAGTACAATGAATAAATACAATAAGGTCTGGATTAGTCCAAATAATGAATGCCATAGTGGTTGCATATATTGGAATTCATACTATTTGAATTTATAATTATGTCAAATACAGTCACTTGTTTCAGGCCAATAGAAATATACAGGGCAAATTTGAATATTGTGACTACTTCATGGGATTTGTTATTTGACCTTATGGTGATCTACCTGTAGTATGGATATTACAGGATAAAAGAAAGCAAAGAAATTGCTGGTATGAAAGAACAAGGCTTCAGCAACAACTAGGACCTCTCCTTCCTCTACCCCCCCCCCCAAAAGGAATATGGAGTAACTTCAAGAACCTCCAGAATAATTTAGTATTTCAGTAAGAAATATAAAGGAATATCTAGTATAAAGATAGACCATTGAAGGCAGAATATAGTAAGATGACTTGAAACTCAAATGAAGAGAAAAGGTGGTAGAAAATCTTAATAAAGCATTGGACTCTGAGGAATAATAGAATGGCCTGGGCAGAGCAAAATAAAAATAAAAGAAGAAAGCCCACCCAAAATGGAGGGTTGGAAGAACAATTATAATTTTTTTTTTTAAATCAACTGGAAAAATACTTCTTACCTCTACAAACCAAAGTGACAGAACTTGATGAGGTAATCTGAGAATTGTTGGTCTTCCAGAAAAATATGAGCAAGAAGTCTGAATACCATATTCCAGGAAATCTCATTTAAAAAAAATTGACTAAAAGCTTTGGAAAGAGAGATCAGAATGCAAGTAGAAAACACAAAATGCATACAGAGGTTTAACTTAAATTTGTTAAAAAAAATGTATTGATATCTTTTAGTTTTTTACATCATCATAGTTTTCCCCAGTGCATCCCCTTCTCAGAGAGCTATCTGATTTAACAAATGGCACTTTAAAAAATTATTTTATTTCTTCCCCATGGAGGAAACAAAAAGAGAGTGAGCTTCATTCTGTATTCAGATAACATCAGTTCTTTCTCTGGAGGCTGATAGCATTTTTCATCATGAGTTCTTTGGGATTGTCTTGGATGATATTGCTAAGAATAGCTAAGTCATTCACAATTCTTCATCGTATAATATTGTTGTTACTGTATACAATGTTCTCCTGGTTCTGCTCACTTCGCTTTCCATCAGTTCATGTAAGTCATTCCAGGTTTTTCTAAAATCATCCTGATTCTCATTTCTTATAGCATAATAATAGTCCATTAAAATCATACACCACAACTCATTCAGCCATTCCTTAATTGATGGGCACCTCCTCAGTTTCCAGTTTTATGCCACCACAAAAAGAGCTGCTGTAAATATTGTTTGTGTATATAAGTCCTTTTCCATTTTCCTTGATCTCTTTGGGCTACAGACCTAGCAGTGATATTGCTGGATCAAAGGGTATGCAGTTTTATAGCCTTTGGGGCATAGTCCCAAATTGCTCCCCAGAATGGTTGGACTAGTTCACACCTCCACCAGCAATGCATTAATGTCCCAATTTTCCCACATCCTCTCCAAAACTTATCATTTTTCTTTTTTGTCATATTAAACCAATCTGATAGGTATGAGGTGGTACCTTAGAGTTATTTTAATTTCCATTTCTCTAATCAGTAGTGATTTAGAACAATAAATAGTACTTTTTAAAGAGGAAAAAGAAGGGAAAAAT